TTTTTGGCCCGGCCGGGAAAGTGGTCCCCGCCACTCTGGTAGCCTAGATTATTATTTTATTATATAGGATATTGTATTGTGTAGGAGATTAGAGAAGAGAGGAGAGAAATGAGGGACAAAGATAGGGATGCACATAGATGATAGAACACATGATTCAGAAGAAGTTTCGTAGGGTTGGGGCGTGCGTTAGGGCAGCGGTAACGCTGGGCTAACGCGCCGCCCGAGTAGCAGCATCCGGGCGTTGGGGGATCGCGTACGGGGTCAACGAAATCTGTCTGCTCCGATTGCCAGAACTTGGCGTGGGGGTGACCATGGTGGCGGAGGGAGGAACACGGGGGTGTTTGGGGGGCGTGCCGAGGGAGCAGTGACATGCTCCTGGTCATTACTTGTCTCACTTGACTTCGTCAAGAATCCTAGCTCGGTGGAGGAAGGAGAGGGCGATATGTGGGGACCATCGGCGGGTGGGATCTGGATGCTGTACAATACCTGACGAGACTGATCGGGGGCTATGTCCCTCGGTCTCTGATACGGAGGTTTTGCGGGGGTCTCCTGCCCTGACATCTTGTCAGTGTCAGCCCGCGAATGTGATGGTGACAGGAGTAATGGAGATTGTTGCAGGACTTCTCACGTTCAACGCACAATTCTGTTTATGATCTCCAGGAGCGCCTATCGACTTCTTGCCTTCGGAGCGTTCACCTGTTATGGCCCGTTTTAGGGCATTGAGAGAGTGTATGTGTGAGTGAGTGAATGTGTGAGTGCGTCAGTGGTTTTATTAGATTAGGGCTGAGGTCAAATATGGTTTTCCGGTGTTTTTTCTTGTTCTTTGTTGGGTGATAGCTGTTGTGATTTGTTGTAACTTTAGTATAGCGTTTTTTGSATGTGATAAGATGAGYGAGAGAGTGCTACKCTGTAGAATCRYCATTAYGGTGGGCGGTGGCGTTTCCTTGTGAGACAGGGCAGATTAGTGGTTGTGGTTTTCCCTGAATCGCGAGGAGGTGGGTGGGTTTGCAGGGTCTTTGACCCCTGCCGCGCGGGAGGTAGGGTATTACCGCTGAGATGTTGAAATGGGTTTCGGCTTATCTTATCCGTCTAGGCTGGTGTCCTCTTGCCATCTAAATTTTTGCGGTTTTGTGGTGAGCATCATCCCACCGGGGCTTCGTCATGGAGGGCGGCGAATCATCCGTAGGGGGTGTATGCAGAATTGAGGGAGGAGTTTACCCTAAATCGCGAGGAGGTGGGTGGGTTTCGCGGGGCCTTTTGGCCCCTGCCGCGCAGGAGGTGGGGTAATCCCCTGGGTAGCGAAAACAGCATCGTGGTGGGAGTTGATGTTTTTGAATGAGGAGAGTGGGGAGGTGCTATCTGCTTTGAATCACGAGGAGGTGGGTGGGTTTTGCGGGGTCTCTGCCTGCAGATTGGGGGCCTGCGGGCACCGACCCCTGCCGCGCGGGTGGCAGAGCGGATTAGCAAGGGGTTGGTAGTAACTTTGGATGAAAAGTGCTCATCATCAAGCAACGCTGACCTTTGGTTCTTCTTTGTTCTTTTGATTGCCTTTGTGTACGTTTTCTTTTATGATCGGTGGAATTAGGGTTATTAATTAGGATTTGTAACTTCGTTGAATTTTTAGGATAAGGGAATTGGAATTTTAGTGATGAGTTTAAATAAAAATAATAATAATAATAATAATGGGCCAGTTAGAAGCAGGAGTTACGATTTGTTGTAGACTTCTTAGTTGCTTTCTTACTTTCTTCCTTTTGGGGACTCCGCGATTCCTGATATGGGCTTGGCCGGTGATGCCTCGCTCATAACCGGGAGCCGCCAGCATACATGTGAGGGACGCCGGGCCCGTTTCCCGGCTTGTATAATATGACTCTTCTTTAAAAAAAAAAAAAAAACGCATGATTCAGGTACTACCTTCTTCCTCCAAGATAACCCAAATACAGCTACATTGAGCGAATGTTGTATTTGGTGGAAGAAGGTAGCTTAGTGCCCGAGGTGCGGGCGTGCAGGCAATGCCCAAACAAAAAAGAGAAAGAAAAGGACAAACGAACTCGTCCCGACACTGGAAACAACAAATGGCTCCTTGGGGGCCTGCTGTGAGGAAAACGCCCGCCAACGGGAAACGACAACTCCTACAATCGGACGGCCTCCTTTCGCAGATATTTCCCTCTCCAATCGATGCTGCGCTCTCCTTCGCCCGCGCGCAATAAACAGTTCGGTGGAAAACCCTCTCTGCACGTGCTGGACCATCGATCGTGCTCATCCAAGGGCCTTCGCTAGAACTTCCGCTCCGATTTGGCGCGCAGCTTGCCGTTCACGGTGGCCCCCAGCCCATGCTCCTTTAGGGCCTCATTCCACACCACTTCACTTCGCTTGAAACTCGAGTGCGCACTCGAGTTGTGAAAGTGATTAAAAAATACCAGAGTCACATTTCGTTCCACTCGACCCTCGAGTCCGCCCTTGAAATGAGCGGGAAAAGCTTGTGAGAGGTTCAACCAGGACAACGGTGTTAGAAAAAGGAGAATAAACAGGGGGGGGGGGGGGGGGNGGGTGACCATTGGGGGGTTCTACACGTACCTGAAACCGCCTCGCGCCGCTCGCTTGCACGCTTCTCAAGGGCAGCTCAAGTGTGGCCCGAGAGGTCACTTGAAAAATCACCTCGTTTGCCTAGGGCGCACTTGAGCCGCCCTTGAGAGTTTCCCGCCCGTTTGATAATCCCAAAAACCTAATGACGACCCGCCAGTGATTAGCGAAACTCAAGGGCACCGTGGAACTGATGAGTTTCAAGTGGTGTGGAACGAGCCCCTTAGTGTTAGGATATATAACATAAAGGGGTTGTGAAGAGCACATCCCCTAGGAGGCTTCCTTTTTTTTTTTTTTTAGACGACTTCCATGCCAAAGCAGTTAGACAAACGGCCTGAAAGGTTGTGGGGGTTTAAAGGAGGTGGCATGTGTTTTGCTTCTTCTCCCCCAACCGATTGACCATGAGCGGACAAGCAGTGCTTCTCGGGGAGCCAGGGCAAGAAAGCCATAGCTCTGAATTCAGCGTGCGGGGGGGGAGGGGGGGGGGAGTCAGAAATTGCTGCCATTTATTCAGTGTTTTTCACCTTGTTGAAAAAGATGCAGGAGATCTCTCACACCCAGTGCATGTGCATGTGGCTGTGAATGGGGTGAATGGTGCGCACCCGTCACCTGTTGCCTGTTGTTGATAAACAGACCTGACCTGAGATGGGATCCCGATAGGCTCACAAAAATTCGGATACAGAAAATTCAAAATTAACTTCTACTTATCGAAAGGAAAGAAAGACAGGTGGTCTCACCTGGCCTGTGCCGACAATATTATCATTCTTTGTCGCAAGAGCTTTGGGAAATTTGGCGATCTCCTGCACACCATCCCAAAAGGGAAAAGACAAAGGCCAAGCAAGCATTGCCAAAAGACATTAACAAAAAAAAGAAAAAAAAGAAAAAAAAAAGGAACGAGGAAAAAAGTGTTCACCAGTGAAGCAAAAGGGGAAAAAAACTTAAGGAGAAAAAAGAAAAAGAAACAGAAAAAAAAAGTTGAAAAAACTCATGGGGCCAAAGCATGGTTTATATGTCCTTTCCCGTCTGCTTCTCGTTTGCCTGTCTATCTGTCTATCTGTCTATCTGTGTCTATCTGTCTATCTGTGTATCTGTGTATCTGTCTATCTGGCTATGTGTCTATGTGTCTATCTGGCTATCTGGCTATCTGGCTATCTGGCCAGATATCTGTCTATCTGTGTTTCTTGTCGGCAAGTCTTCCAACTTGTTTGGCTGTCTGTCTACCTGTCTCTGTCTGTTCTGTCTGCCTGTCTGTCTGTCTGTCTGTCTGTCTGTCTGTCTGTCTGTCTGTCTGTCTGGCCTCTGTCAGTCCGTCTGTTTACCTGTCTATTGGTTTGTCTATCGGTCTGTCTATCAGTCTGTCTGCCCTCTGTCAGACAGTCTGTCTGTTGGCCTTGATCAGTCTGCCTGTCTGTATGTCCTTTTGTTGGTCTTGGTATGTCTGCATATCTGAGTGTCCCGTGCCCGTCTGTCCATCCGTATGTCTTTCCGTCTTCCCGTCCGTTTGGCTGTCTGTTTGTTGTTCCGGCTGCCAGTCTGTTTACCTGTCCGCATGCATTTCTGTCTGTCTGTCTGGCTGTTTGAGTGCTCATCACTACAGCAAGCCCGAGATCTGTGCTAAGCTAGAAAAAGGCCTGGACAGTTTCGCTGTTCGTGTCCAAACAGCTAGATGGTCCAGATGTGACCAGAGCAGTCCAGGACTGTCCAGATTATTCTGCCAATTGGCATATTCTAATTGTTCAATACATGTACAAACTTGCAATACCTCTCTCTCTCTCTCTCTCTCTCTCTCTCTCTCTCTCTCTCTCTCTCTCTCTCTCTCTCTCTCTCTCTCTCTCTCTCTCTCTCTCTCTCTCTCTCTCTCTCTCTCTCTCTCTCTCTCTCTCTCTCTCTCCGCCCCTGTGAACGTCCTGCTGTTACCGCATTCCTCCGTTCTTCAGACTCCAGTGGAGAGTTCTGCTCCTCCTTGCACAATTAAACCACCAGTTCGCACAAGTCTAAGTTGATGAAGCTACCATCCGAGGCTTGCGAGCTTGCAACTGCGCCTTTTCCAGGTGGCTTGCTGCTTAAACCTGCTTTTGCTACTGGCCCAGGCCCAAATTGAAATGCTCTTACTGTGTACGTGAACTGTTGAAATACAGACCTGTGTTCGAATCCAGCTGCTGGAACTTGACAATTTAAACCAACTACTAATAAATTGCTTGGGGTCGGTCAGCTCAATGATAATATCTCAAGACCGTCGCCCTTTTTAAAAAAAAACTGGTAAGCGCAGTACTCTGCTTCGGGTGAACTTGTCCCACACGTAGCCATATCAGGATGTCCACATTGCTGCCAAGGACACTTCCCCCACTGAATGATCACCTACGGCTATGGTGCACCTGGTCCTTTTGTTGTGGTCTGCTGCCAAAATGTTGTGTGCCATTGGAGACTGCATTGTGGAAATGGAGACTGCTAACCATCGCAATGACTGTGGGATCATCAACAGTCATTGTCACGGTTAATAGTTTGACTGTTTGCCCGTTTGCGTGTTTGGTCTGTGATTTGCTTTCATCATGCATACGAGTTCCGGTGTGCTTGTTTGTTTCCCCCCCCCTTTTTCTTTACCCCCTCGTCCCCCCCAATCGAAAACCCGCATCAGATAGGCCCATATATTCTGGGGGGGTGTCAGTCAGTCTGATTGCTTATCATGGGCAAGCAAAGGAGAAGTCAAGACTAGGCCCGGAAAATGTGGCGCAGAGGTGCGAGCCAGTCTCCAGGATGCTCTCCGTACGGTATGGTACGGAGAGCAGATACGCGTGTCAAATTTTGAGATGGAGCACAGATGGAGAGAGAGAGAGAGAGAGAGAGAGAGAGAGAGAGAGAGAGAGAGAGAGAGAGAGAGAGAGAGAGAGAGAGAGAGAGCTGTATGATGGGAAACTGCTCTCCGTACGGTACGGTACGGTACGGAGAGCAGAGATAAGGGAATTGGGGTGTCTGAAGCTCTAGGGGTCAGAGCTGCTCTGACCCCTAAACCCTAAAACGCTTAGGGGTCAGAGCCACTCTGACCCCTAAACCCTAAAATGCTTAGGGGTCAGAGCCACTCTGACCCCTAAACCTATTTTAGCTTTCGGGTTTAGAGCCACTCTGNTCTGACCCCTAAACCTATTTTAGCTTTCGGGTTTAGAGCCACTCTGACCCCTAAACCCTAAAATGCTTAGGGGTCAGAGCCACTCTGACCCCTAAGCCTATTTTAGGTTTAGCGTTTAACTGAAGCTATTGATCTTTTTTTTTTTTTTGGGGCGGGGGTCGGGAAGGCTCCATCTATTGGTGGGGAGCAACACCTGCTGGAAATCGGGTCCAGCGTCCCTGTAAACAAGCATTTGTCATAAACCGTGCCACGTGTCACAACGTAAAGATCCTAAACCGTTGGTGTGTCAACACGTACGCACGCAGTATTCAACGCGAGGAGCAGCATTAATCACCCTCTGCCCATCGCAATCTAGGGAAGTTACTATCCTTATTCAGAAACCCTCATCATTTCTCCTCGAAAAGACTTGCAGCACTCACTATGAGGGGGAGGGGGAACCAGAATAGGGAGATAGAGAAACTATTATAACGAATCCCAGCTTCCGGAGTCAGCAGTAAACCACCCGGACTGCCCCAAACGCTTAACAGCACTGTTCCTCCTATGGTGCCACGTGGCAGGTTTACAACACAAGCCGAAATGAAAACCACCACGTGGCAGCGCGTCATACACGCCGGAATCGCGGGTTATGCGTACCAGGTTCAAATCATCAGTCACTCGCAGCGAATAGAAGATACAATGAAGGTGCTGCCAAAGCATGAGTCCATATCCCACCCTGAAATACTCTTCTACCACCCAAGGACGATTCAGCAGCATGAGCAGAAGGGGCATACAGAGCAGGCTTCCTAAAAGCTCGAAACCTACTATCCACGTGGCGGAACCCAAATGACAAAAAAAAAAAAAAAAAAAAACACCGCGCCACCTCCGCCGACACTTCCTGTTCCCCCCACGTGGCAAAAGAACAGGTCATACTCTGTTAGCACGTGGCCAGAGCTGCCCTATCACCACGTGGCAACTAGCAGATGTGATAAGAGAATCCTTTAACTAACCCACCCCCTCACGCACCCATCCCACCCCCAACTGTCCCCCATGCCCTTATTGATCTATTAGTATCCCTAGGATGGCTTTCTTAATTTTATGGGCGACAACCACAGTTCTTGTGGGGTCGGAATTACGGTGTCTGAAGCTCTAAGGGGGTCCGGAAGACCACCTGCATACTTAGTCACCCGGAGGAACAGACAGAGTCAGACACACCTCCCTGCTCCCTACCTGCTGATAGACTTTTATTGTATTATATTATAGCAGCAAAAAAACTCTATCGGGCCGAAACACACCTCCCTCCCTCTAACGAATGCAAGAGGCCTCTCCAACGAAACAGAACCTCCCTCCCTGCTCCCTGAAACTCTTTCAGGCCCGAAAGATTTTCAGGGAGCTTTCACTGAAGTGGTTGCAGAGTGTTATAACTTCTAACATCATTCATTAGGTAGTAACAACGTCTTCAGCCCTTTCTTTTTTTTTTTTTTTTCTTTTTTTTTTTTAACCACTAGTACCTTTGCCACTTGGGAAAATAGCGGGCCTCGGGTAGGCGTCCGACCTTTTCAGAGGCCGAAACGAAACGACGGCCGCCGATCAGATTTATCAATGGCAGTCGTCGTCGGGCCC